TAGGTAATCTCTGTGCGATGTTTACCCATGTGGCTTTGCTTTTATCGCTATGCTATTTCTAAATGTCAGTTGAATGGGAAAGACTGCTCCTGTGGTCCAGAACAATCAGTAATAACTTTGGAAGTGTAATAACGCCCATAAAGCTGGTGAAAACAAACATGGGTCTCTCTTTCCTTCTGAAAAGACAAGCTTGCACCAGCAAGTTGATTCAGAATAGTTTATGATGGTTAGTGTTTGTCTAGATGGTAGAGACATGCTATTTACCAGGAAAATGTGCTGGTTGTAAAGCTGGAAAGGAGGTTTTGCTGGTGAAGCCAGCCTGCTGGTAACCAGAATGTATTTATGTATGTATGCATAAATGACTAAATTCTGCTAAATGACTAATGTACGTATGTATATATATATATATACATATACATATATGTTACCCACAGAAAAGTTGGGACTCGTGTATGTGTGTGCTAATCTCATAAATACGCAAATTTTGACATGACTTGAAGGCAGCATTCGTTTAATGGATTAAAGCAATGTGAAGTGGCATGGAGTAGATTGCATTTTTCGTAATATTTCACATCAAGTGCATTACATTTAATTACACTGGAGTAACTCTTGTCACTTTCCTCTCAGACCTCAAAGGCGTGGTATCAGCCAAGAACGACATCCGCGTGGAAATTGTACACAAAGATCACAACGCAGCCCGAGAAAACGAGGATCACTCCGCCATGAAACAGCTCATGGTGAGTCACGTTCTGAAGAAAGAAAACAGTAAACACCCCGCTCGCCATTACCCCATCGGCACCCCCAGATCAACAAACTAGCTCATTATGCTAGTCCCTGTCACATCTGTAGCTAATGAATGCTAATCATCCCCACCCCAACACTAATAGCGCATAGCTCCCTAGCCACTGCTAACGTCAAACCCATGAATAATGCAGCATAAGTGTGAGAACCCCCCAGGCCTGCATGCCTATATTTAGCCCCCGGTCTGCATTTCCTGGGAGGACATGGGCATAGATGTAACCATAGAGATGCCAGTGATCAAGTGGTCCTTTTCTCCTGGAGCTCTTGGTGAACTTCTGTCAAAACACATGCTGCCACGATCTCTGGAAATTTCACTCATTGTCAAACAAGCCTCCGAGGTCCAGAATCAGAGTTCTGTTTGGACTTAATATGTAAAACACACTTTAGACTTTAGACAAAAAGTGAGAGAATACCTCACAAAGATGGTGTTGTATTGCACATTTTGCTAATGACGTGAAGATTATTCACAGGAAATTGCCCCAGTTGAAGTAGCTTTCCTTTTGGAATATCTCATGAAAAAGCGCACAAAGTGAGAGTAACCCAGATTGTAATGTGTGAACGGATCTGATGTTTGCCACAGATTGAACGGGGAGAGTTTCAGCAGGAGTCCGTTCTGAAGCAACTTGAGGTACTTCAGGAAGAGGAGAAAGAGTATCAGCACATCAAGGTATGCCTCAATGGGATTAGAAGGAAGTGATGCGAGAAAGAGAGAGGTTGTTAAATGACACCACACTAAAACATCTTCAATGTTATTTTTATAGGGCTGCCAATCGATTCAATCTAATAGTGATTTGTGTTATATTTTTGCTGTCGTTAACATATTAGCACATAATTTCTGGTAACACTTTATTTTGAGTTCACTATAGACATTCTACTAACATTAAGTAACTTTGCAACTACATGTCAACTAGCACTCATTAGAGTATTAGTCACTGTCTGCGTAATATCTGCTAACACTTTATTTTGATGGTCCCCAACAGACATACTATAAGTAACTGGCATAAGTACATGTCAACTTAAGGCCAAAGTATTGTGACTCAAAGTCCATCACCAGATTGAGTATGTGCATACTGTATGTGCACCATCCAATATTTTGTAATTGCACATACTTTGTAATAGGGCTGCACGATTAATCGAATGCAAAATAAATTTCATGCGTATCTTGTCAGTAAAGCCGGTTCTCTGATTAGAAGTAAATCTCCAGCATGTGCTTTCAGATGGAGCAGCATTTACTATACAGAGCCATAGTTCACTGACAAGCTACGCAAAATCGCGGTCATAATCGCAGACGATTTAATCGTGCAATTATGAAATCGAAGAAATCATTCTGCGATTATGAAAGCTGTTTGCGTAGCTTGTCAGTGAACTACGGCTCTGTGTGGTAAATGCTGCTCCATCTGAAAGCACATGAAAATACCACATTCAATAACATGTTTTTACTCCAAACTCACTTCATAACGTCAGTCGAGTGTTTGAAATAAATCCTTCTGTGAGATAAGGTGGCTTCTTACATAAAATAAGGCATGCAACATATTTCATAGTATTCTAAGCAGTGATAAAGGCTATGTTGATTAGGATTGCATTATTATATACTTTATTATAATAAAAATTACAATAAGACGAACTCAGATAAACCATATAGTGCCGTAGTCGTGTGTTTATTAGTCACGTTGAATTAATGAAAGCAGTTAAATCTTCTGTTTATTCCGCAACCGCTATAGGCATTTCCTGGGTTTCTTCTGGCATTTTCGGTTTATTTGGAGTTTCAGCGCGAGAGCGCCCTCTGGCCTTCGGATGGAGATTTACT